TTTTTTACAAGATGGTTATTTGAATTGTGTAAATTTGTGAAAATCGATTGCAGCGACGCTGAAAAATGGTAAAGTCGTATCCAAATGTGAGTGAGGAGTACCAGAAGGCTATTGAGAAATGCAAGAAGAAGCTCAGAGGTCTAATTGCCGAGAAGAATTGCGCTCCTATTATGCTACGTATTGCGTATGTTCCCCAAACCCTCCCATCTAAAATTTCAATTTTTCATTTAAAATTGGAATTCACTTTTAGGATTCTGTGAATATAGACTTTTTGCTAATATTGATCCTCTATTAGTGCAATATTTCTTAATTATTTGTTACGTTTTGAATATATAATTGCATATGCATTGTGTTTAGACGAAGATCCCCTTGTACTTGCTGAACTATTTTGAACATAATGAAAGAAATCATAGCATGCTTGAACATAGATTTGGTTCAAGAATTCTTACTTGAAGTGATGTATTTCAAGATCTTTGTGTGATTGAATCACTTTACTATTTCAAGTCCCAAATTCCCCAATCACAGTGGAAAAGGATTATTATCCACAATCTAAATGCCTTATATTGTGAGCTTTCAAACAAAAATAGTGATTTTAGCACATTTCCAATTTTGTTGCATTTTTACATTCTATTTTCACTATATTTTCTTGCCATCTTTTCCCTCTCTTGTCCTAGACCATGATTAGAGGTTATGTGGGAAGTTGAGGTGGGGAATTGTAGATTTAAATTCCAAGTTCAAACCACTCCCCCAATTCTTTTGATGTCTTGCGGGTCGGGCTACCCTGCATGGATGACCCATGACCAGTATTTTCCAACAGTTTTGAATAACTAAATAAATATTTGTGTAAAATAGAGCTTCAACATTTTTTGGTTATGGTCTGGAGATATCAAAGTTATTCAAGAAGATGAAGTGTCCAGGGGATTACATGATCCCTTTCACGTGCCCTTCGCGGATAGTTTAGATTTTTGTACTCTTACAACCACGGCTGCACTTAGCATTTGGAAAGAGACATTTGAAATGTCATTGACCTGATTTTGTTTGCAAACCAGTAAATGAACCATAAACAAGATACTTGTATGTACTCCCTGATTCAAATCCAAAAGATTTCTAAATCTTAGATAAATGGGACATGCCACTCAGTAAATTCCTACTTTTTATGAATATCAACGAACCCAATTCATTTTGAAATGATGTAGCACTGTTCTATTTTGTCTGGTAGTATATTCAGCGCATTGTTTATGAGTGATTTTGATGATATGATAGAAGTCGTGTTCGATTATGTTGGAATGTCGTGTGCTGTGAGTGTAGGTGGCACTCTGCTGGTACCTTTGATGTGCAAAGCAAGACTGGAGGTCCTTTTGGGACCATGAGGTTCAAGGCTGAGCAGGGACATGAAGCTAATAATGGTATTGACATTGCTATTAAGCTCTTGGAACCCATCAGGGAGCAATTCCCTACTATTTCTTATGCTGATTTCCATCAGGTATTTTTGCCTTTCTATACATTAATGCATGAAATTTTTATTGTGGAATTTGATCATGTTTTTTTTGAATTATTTGTTAGATAATTTGAATGTTTCATGGTCTTTACTTGTACGCAGTTGGCAGGAGTTGTTGCTGTTGAAGTTACTGGAGGACCAGAAATCCCTTTCCATCCAGGAAGGCCGGTTAGTTAAGTTGTTTTTCCTAAGATCAACAAATCTTTCTGTACATTTTTTGAGCCGCCGTGTAGTCCAACTACCAGCATGTTTGGCAAAAAAAAAATCGCTCTTCTTTAAGCTTGAGTCCTACAAATTGTGTTGACCAAATTCCATAAGTTCAACTTATGGATTATGGTCCACACAAATTTGTGTGGGACCCTAGCTTATAAGAGAGCAAATTTTTGCCAAACATGCTTTATATCATCTGGAGCTAATCCATAGAGAACTTCGCGGATTGTTATGCTTACTTTTGAAAACAAAGCTGGGTAGAGTTTATTTGGGGTTCGATGGCTCTCATGTGGTTACAGGAATGACAAATTTCTGTTGAAGTTTTTTGATTGGAATTCTGGTAACTTTTGACTTTTAATTCAAACGTATCATTTGGCGGTGGATTTCTACATTTTTAATTGAATTGGAAGTTCTGTTAAGAGAAGTCTGCCATTGATGCTATCAAATCTACTTCTTTCTATCATTTTTAAATGCAGAGAACATTTCATTCTAGAAATTATGTAATTAGTTTCAAACCTTGTCTAGGAATTCTGTACCATTTCTTTGTACATGTGGATATGCCTAGAAAGACTCTTTAGTTGAACTCTGGCATTAATTTGGGCTAAAAGATTTATATATGCATCCAACCCCTACAACCCTTACATAGTTGATACCTTCTCCTTCAAAGAAACTCATAGCACCAACCCCATCCGTCATTCCATCAATTTCTTGTCGATCAAAAACATGAGTGTATGTTTATTCAATAAATGCATCTTTAGATTAGCACATTTTCATGATTGCGCTTCTCTAATATCAGGATAAAGAGGAGCCTCCTTTTGAAGGTCGTTTGCCCGATGCTACAAAGGGTAAGTCAAATTACAGAAGATTCAAGTGTCCTCAGCCTTAAAAATGGCTAGTCTTGTGCTAATCTTAAATTACTATTGTAGGATCAGACCACTTAAGGGATGTATTTATTAAACAAATGGGTTTGAGCGACAAGGATATTGTTGCACTCTCTGGTGCCCACACCCTGGTATGTACTTGCCATTGTTCAAAAGACCCTTAACGTTCTCTTGCCGGTAGTTTAGTTAATATGACGTAATTCTGCAGGGAAGGTGCCACAAGGAACGTTCTGGATTTGAGGGACCCTGGACAGCAAATCCCCTCATCTTTGATAACTCTTACTTCAAGTAAGACCTTATTCATGTTTCGTATTCATAGTACTTCAAAATACACTAAGAGTGTGTTTGATTGGTTTATTTTCCATGGAAAATATCACTTTTCCATCCAAGTTCTTACTTTTTGAGTGTTTGATTGACAATTTTTTCCATGAAAAATATTTTTCAAAAGTTGGTCATGTGATCATATTTTCCTAAAAAACAAGGAAAACATTTTCTTTAGGAAGTGGTAGGTTTTTATTTTTTAGGCAATCTACTCTCTCTCTCTTCTACCCCCTCTCTCAT